TGGCCTACTCGGCGGAGAAGGCTCACCAACGGGAGACGCGAGCTGAGCGCATGGGGGCAGACGTGGATGACGTCAGCGGACGACTTGCAGCGCCAGGCCCCAAGGAGCTGAGCACCGCTGCCATTTGCCTCGCGACGTTGTCGCAGGAGCGGGTGCCCTGGCGGGTGTGCATGATGGTCCTCGGCAAGCTTGTGCGGGCGTTTGAACTCAGACGCCCGCTCTTCGGCCTCCTCAACTCTGTATGGTCCCTGTCGACGGCGCGCTCGACAGTCCGGTACAATGCCGAGATGGTCGAGGAGCTCCTTTTGGGCCTCATGCTGCCACCTCTCTCCGCGCCCGCATCGAGGGGATGGTCACGGTCTCGGGCGCCTCGTAGTTCGGGGGCGGCGTCTGCGCGTCCACGTGCCTCCGCGGGAAGGCGGCATCGGCGCTCAAGTCCATGGGCCAGGTCGCCGATCACCTCGGCGTGGGCGCTGGGCTGCTCAACATGCCTGTAGACCCGTGGTGCCTCTGGACCGTGTCTATTCGGTGCGTTCTTTGCGCGGCGCCCGCGTTGAACGCGCAGTTTTTGCGGCGCCGACCGCGTGAGCAGGGCGCCCCGCTGCAGGGGTCGCGCGGCCGTCCGCGCCAGGGCGCCCAACGCCGCGAAAGAAAATGCGCTCGCACACAAACTCTGCAATCTTTTGGTCACCCCTGAGCCGCCCCGAAGGCACTTTCAGAGTCCCTGCGGCGCGCGCGACCGTGAGGTCAGTCGTTTTGAAGGTGCTCAATTTCCTAGTCGTAGGACTATTTGACGGCATCGGCGGCCTCGCGGTCTCGCTCTCGAGGCTGCCCGTCAGGATCGTCGGCTATGTCACCGCCGAGACCGACGCGAAGGCCAGGCGAGTTGTCCGGCTGCGCTGGCCAGGCGCGATCGACTGGGGCGACGTGACGCGGGTGGGCGAGAACCTGGTGCAGAACCTCTTTGGCACGTTCTCGGAGGCGGTGGGCGCGTGCGTCGCTGGCGCGGGCAGCCCGCGCCAGGACCTGTCGCGGCTCAACGCGAGCGGTGGGGGCCTGCATGGCCGCAAGGGCTCCTTGTTCTACGAGGTGCCCGGGATCTTCCAGCTCTTGCAGCAGGCGTTCGAGCGGCGGTTCTACTCGCTGCACGAGAACGTGGCGAGCATGACAGACGAGAACGTCAAGGCCATGTCCAGTTGCGTGGGGTTTACGCCGTACCTCATCTGCTCGTCGGTCATGGTGCCGTGTCGCAGGCCGCGGCTGTTCTGGCTTGGCAGCTCCAGGTGGCACCGCCGCTGCGCCTTGTCGAAAAGGGCAGCTACCTCGAGGTTATGGAAGACAACGGGCCGCTGCTGGACATCGAGCATCGGCCAGTGCCGTGAGGCCCGGGACCAGCGCGGCTGCTTCGAGGCCAGCTCGGGCGAGCCGAACACCAAGGAGGCCAGGCGTCTCGTCCTCCACTACCTGAGCCGCGCAGAGAAGGGGGGCTCGGACGCGCGGCTGGATTGTGGCCTGCCGTGCCGTCCGAGAGGTTGGCCTCGCTCGAGCCTGGGCCCCTTCGCGCGGCGGTGGCGCGCCGTGCTGAGCACGGCGCGGCCGCGCGAGACGCGCGCGCACATCAACGTGAGAGAGCTGCAGGCGGCGCCGGCAGCTATGCGATGGCGAGCGCGGAAGTCAGCCCGACATTGCGCGCGGTGGCTTCACCTCGTCGACAGTCAGGTCGCGGCGGCCATCGTGTCCAAGGGTGGCAGCAGCAGCCGCCGCATGCAGCCAGCGCTGAGGCGCTGGATGGCCATGGCGATCGCGGCGGACATGTACCCGCTGATCGGCCACGTGGTCTCGGAGGACAATCCGCCGGACGAGCCGTCGCGTAAGTTGTGGCGTGGCTCACGGCTCAGGAAGCGCGGCGAGGCGCGGCCCGCCGTGCTCCCGCGCGGGCCGCGGCTGCCGCGCTGAAGCGGCGCGCGAAGCGCTGGCGGACCCTCGCCTCGCTGCGCGTGGGGTTTGAGACGCGGGCGAGGTGCGCTCGCGCGGTGCAGGACCTGCTGAGGCACTACGGGGTGAGCCTTCAGGAGGTGCGTGCCCTGGGCGAAGAGGCGGAGGATGCTGGCGGCCTGGTCGCCAGCTATTCGGAGGCGATTTGGCAGAGCGGAGCGGGCATCGCGCTGGCGAACAACACCGTCGCGGGCGCGTGCTTCCTGCTGCCCGAGCTGCGGCGGAGACTGGAACTGTCGCGGGCGCTGCTGAAGGCCTGGCGTCGAGCGGAGCCTGCAGAGGGCGCGCTGCCGTTCACGCCCGATATCGCCACGGCCATGGCGGGCCTGGCGGCGGAGGCCGGGGCGTTCGACGTTGGTTGCCTGCTTCTCATTAGCTTCGAGGGCCTGCTGCGCGGTGGTGAGGCCTTTGCGCTGACGGCGGGCGACGTCCTCGACCGCGGCGACTCCATCGTGCTGCGGATCAGGACGTCCAAGACCACAGCGGGCAAGTACGCTGCAGAGGCCGTCGTCATCCGGTCAGCGGTGGCCAAGGTGATGCTCGGGCTGGTGGTGCAGCGGCGGCCCTCAGGCGAAGCCCTTTCGTGGAGGTCTCCCGCCCAGCTCAGGGGCGCGCTGGTGGCCCTCGCGCGCGGCCTGGGCCTTCCTGGGCGCTTCTCGCGGCACTCCGCCCGGCGAGGAGGCGCCTCGTACTTTTTCCTGCGGTCGTCCTCCATAGGGGGCCACGCTCGTGAAGGGCAGGTGGGCCAGCAGCATGACGGCCCGCATGCACATCGAGGGTGCTGTGGCAGACCTCGTGCGCGTGCGGCCCGCAGACCCGGCCGCCGCCGCTCTTTTGCATGGATTGCGATTGTTGCGAGCATTCTCAGAGCTGTAAAATTTGTTTTCGTTGTATATATTCACGATCTTCGCTCTGGCATTGATTTCAGAATTCCCAATTCGAAGAGCAGACTAATGTACTGCAAATGAGGTTGGGGGGGTGGAGCGTTTAACAGCATGTTCACGGCTAGCCAGCCACGAGGGGGTGGAGTTGGTATAGCGTGTTTTCTACGATTTTGCCGTGCCGCGGGCTGGGGTTCATTGGAACCTGAGTCCTGAAACGCCCCTCCCTGTCGAGAAGCTGGCCCGTGAAGCCCAGAGTGGAGCCGGTGTGGACTGCCACGTTTGGTTGCTCTAGCTGCAGGGGTCTTGCTTTTGGCTTGGCGCAGCTGCGGGGGAAGGGGGCGTTGGGCGCTTCGCGGCGAACCGCAGTCTGAGGGGGCTATTAGACCATCGGCGTGGACACGTGCAGTAAAACGGTATGTCCGTATATGAGTTTGTATGGTCATACCATTTGGTGCGTGTATCCCTTACGCCGTCGACCCTCTGTTCCAGAGCTTTTCTGGCTCCCGACCCTCGCACCACCCACCAGAATAATCTCTTGCTTGTAGAGGCTAGCCGGCTTAATGCTTGCCTGAGGTGCCGTAGCCCATCAGGTATAGCGTGTTTCCCCCGATTTTGCGGTGCCGCGGACTGGGGTTCATTGGGGCCTGGGTCCTGAAACGCACTCCCTGTCGTGAAGTTGGCCCGTGAATCCCAGAGTGGAGCCGGTGTGGACTGCCACGTTTGGTTGCTCTGGCTGCGGGGGTCTTGCTTTTGGCTTGGCGCAGCTGCGGGGGAAGGGGGCGTCGGGCGGCTCGCGGCGAACCGCAGCCTGATGGGGGACACTGAGCTATTAGACCATTGGCGTGCACACGGTCAGTAAAACGGTCTACATATATATATATATATATACATATATATATATATAAATATTACTATCTATATATACATATGTTCTGTAACAAACGCGTGCGACCCTACACGTGCGACACCCTTACGATACGAGGTATGGTATGCATGTGGAAGGCCAGTGCAGATACCCGGATGCATCTTGACCGATTTCGAAACATTACCTAGCCGGGTCCACCATCAGGTTGCTAGTGCATGTTTTTCATTACTGGTTCATCCCGTCTGCCGCTTATCACTGCCACCCCCATCCGTACTTCCTCTATGGAGATACCCCTTAGATCCGACGTCGCGAGCATGTTGCAACATCTTGAGCGTTCACGACTGGAGCCCTCGGCCCCATCTCCCCGCAGCATGTATCGATCCCCATCGATCCGCGAGGGACCCGGATCCCGAAAACGGGCGAGGACGCTTAGTGTGACAGAATGGCGACGCCATGGCAACGGGGTTCAGCGCAAGCTCAGAGGAGGAAACGGTGCCCATACCGCGACCTGTCGCCCGTTCTCTTCTCTTCCGTCGCCACCACTGGGTTCACCTTGAAATTATGGTCAGAACGCACCCCGGGAGAGGTCCAGAGAGTAGCGGTATCAGTCCTTTCTGGTCTCCCCACAAGCGGGACCCAGCCATGGCGACAGTGCTGACAGGATCCTGAATTTTGGCTAAGCCGGGTTTGGGAGCCGGTTGCGGCCCTGGATGTGGCTTTGCACATTGGCTGAGCCAGGTTTGGAAGGTTTCCAAACAATTGCAGCGCAGTTTTTGCAACATTGGATGAGCTGGGATTGCGCTGAGCAGGGTTCGCGCGGCGCGCAATGGTGTATGGTCTATTGAGCACGTTCGCCCCGTCGGATATGGTTCGAAGTTCCCGCTGCGCTGGTCCGACGTAAGGCCAACGTAAATGCATGGATCCATCGTGAAACCGACCCAATCTAACGTGAACCCGACGTGACTCCGACCTGGTTCCGATGTAAATTGGGTCTCACGTTGCTGTTCGAGGCCTGCTCCGGCGGGGCTAGGACGAGGGCAAATCTGTTCCACGCGTTCCTGAGCGCTTTGACAAGGCCGCGGCGCCCGAGACGTCCTCCATAGCCGCCAGATCTCAGAGACCTCCGATTCGTGCTCGCACGAGTTCACATCCGTCCTGGACTCGTCTTGGGCTCCTGTTGCCGCGCGAGGCCTGCAGGACTCTCCTCGGAAGGTCAGCCCACGCCCGACGCCGGACCTCGGGAGTGCGCGCGCCAGGCGGCGAGGATGTTGACGGTGCTGCCCTAGGAGTTCCTGGTGCCGCACGCCCCGGCGCTCGAGCCAAACTCGGCGGCGCGCCCGGGGTGGAAGGCTCGAGTCGGGCGTGTCTTTCCACAGGGGGAAGGTTTAAACTAATAGTTAAAAATAATAGTCTGGTGACGATGTTTTGGCACTGCTGGCGCACTGTCGCGGCATTTTTCGCCTCTGTTCCACTACTCGCCCCAGAACTCCTTGTATGGGGGACAGGCCCGACCGAAGGGGAGTCGGAAGGAGAAGGCCCTCTCGGAAGGCGGCGGGGCTTCTCGGAAGCCTTCCGGTCTTCTGAGAAGTCTTTTTGTTGTGTCTTCGGGGAAAAGCCGTCGAGGATTGCGTCGAGAATTTCGGGGAAAGTGCGTCGAGAAAGTGTAATTGGGGGAATTTCGAGAATTTCGAGAATTTCGGGGAATTGTTGTATGTTTTGTGTCTTCGGGGAAAGTGCGTCGAGAATCTCTCAGCAGGCTTGGGGCCTTCCGAGCCTCTTTAGAAGGCCAAGGCCCGCCCCCTCGCGCTGTTCCCCCCCCAGGCTCCTGGGCGGGCCGCCGCTCACGGCCGTGTTCCGGCGACGATTCGTGGGCCTCCTCCTCCCCCTCCTCCTCCTCTCCTCCTCCTCCTCCTCCTCCTCCTCCTCCTCCCCCTCCTCCTCCTCCTCCCCGTCCTACTCCTCCCCATAGAGGCGGTGATCCGAAGCAATGGGGGCGGCCAGCTTTCTCGGCTATCTCCGGCCTCCGGGGGCCCTCCGCGGGCAGCGGAGGCGGAACGCAGACAGGACGGGGGAAGCGAGCACAGAACGGACACGGGAAGCTCTTATGTGGGTCGAACATGTTTGGAAACATGTCGGCCTCGGCGTGGTTTCTCGGAGCTCCGCGCGGATTTCTCGAGTCCCTGGAGCCCCCTTCCCTGGCGCGCGGAGCGCGCCAGGCGCGGCGCCAGAGGCGCCGCTAGAGCGATCCAGCGCCGATCCCAGAAATCCATGCGGATCTCCGAGGTTTTAGGCTGATGCGATTTTTGTTGTTCAAAGAATCTCCTGGGAGCATCCCAGGAGTTGCTTCCCAAACAGTGTTCGGCGGCAAGCCTGGGGGGGAAGTGAGAGGGGGCGGGTCTTCTCAGAAGGCTCAGAAGTTCCCCTGCTTTCCGAGAGAGTTCTTTGACTTTGCCCCAGGGACGCAGAGGACTTCTATGACAGGCTGGAGGGTTTCGGAGAAGCCCCGGCGCCGTCCGAGAAGGCATTCTCCTTCTCACTAGGCCTCCTAGATGAGGGGGTCCGAGCAGATGGGGTCGGAGTTTCGTGCCGTATCACCGCTGCAGCGGCGATGCGGCTTGATGTTCGAGGCCTCCTTGATGGGGTCGGAGCAGGTGGGGTGGGATGATCGCGCCGTATTGCCGATGCATTGGCGATGCGGCTCGATGCGGAGCCCGATTTTCCCCACGCCGATGGCTCCGATGCATCGGCGATGCACTGGCGATGCGGTGCGATCCTCCGACCCCATCTACTCTGGCCCCATCTAGGAGGCCTCTAGATGTGGAGCCCGGCTTTCCCCACGCTGGCGTCGACGTTGTATCGCCGATGCATCGGCGATGCGGCGCGATCCTCCGCCCCCATCTGCTCCGACCCCATCTAGGAGGCCTCTAGTCTCATGATGTTCCAACTTACTTGAGCCTTGATCGCCGGAAAGAATTTCGAATACCAGAAAAAGTACCGAACTTCAAGGGTTTTCACGTGTCGGAACCTGGGAGACACTCGCCCGACACTGTTTCGATACTGTTTCGACACTCTTTTGACACTTTTCCGGATGCTCGAAATTATTTCTGGGATGTGGTCCTTGAGTAGGATGGTAACAACATAAGCCTCGGGATCCAGACGTCGCGCCGCGGGACCCAGACCTCGAGTATTTTTTGTTGCGCGTTTGTTGGCCATTAGGGAGTACTTTTTGAGTACTCCAGGTTTCGTAATAAAAGGGAGGTGGTCTGGACCCTCCAAGACAAGCCATTTCAGACCTCCCCCGTGGGAGAACCCTCCAAAACATCGTCCCCAGACCCCCCAGGCCCTCCAAGATAGCCTGGAAGAGACCCCCCCCGAAATGAGACCCCCCTCCCTATATTACGAAATCTGGAGTATGTTGTATTGTTCGTGGAACAATCCCCCCGTAGGGGGACACGCCCGACTTCGCTCTAGCCTCACTTCCCCCCCCCCCCCCGCGCGCGGCCCTCCGCGGCAGGGGCCCAGCTCGGAGAGATCGCGCGCCCGGTGCGGCGAGGGCCGCCCGGGCTGCCGGTCGGCACTTTCCTTCGGGGGGGCCTGCCCTGTTCTGGACGCCCGAGATGGGCACGGAAAGAATGGGTACGATGCCCGACAGCAGTTTTTGTTCATTCTGAACAGGATTCGCTGTCCACGCCGCCGCGGCCTGTGTCCATTCGAGACAGAAGGCCGCCTGTCCAACAGCGGCCGCTGTTAGTTTGGGACAACATTTGTTGTTGGGCATTGTACCCATTCTTTCGGTACCCATTTCGGGTGTCCAAACCTGTCAGATCGCGGGCGGTTTCCTCCGCCGTGCGACAGACATCGGTATCGTCTACAGTGGGGGCGCGCATCAAGCAAACATGTGCTTTTCGTCAGGGCATCCGGGGGTTCTTCGCTCCGCGCGCCGCGCGGTGGCTTCCCGCGGCCAGGGAAGGAGCGGCTGCGTTCAGGGTGCTCTGGGTTTCCCCTCAGATGTACCTCGCGCGCGGGTTTTCAGGGTTGGGTTTCTTGCGAGGGTTTCTTACGGCCGCGCCCGCACTGTATCCGATCCCCATCCCCATCCCCATCCCCTTCGAGACCCCCATCAGATTACCACTCCAGTTGGGGATGCACCCCTCGAAACCCGAAGGGAACGACCTATTCCCATCTAGGGGGGTAACTCGGCCAGTGGGGCCCAGGCAACGCCGCTGGGGATGGAGATTGGTGAAACCATACACCCTTCGACGAACTCTGCATATACTTTCAGAAGGGGTTGGTCGGCGAGCGGGGGGGGGAGGAAAAGGAGAAGGCCCTCTCAGAAGGCGGCGGGGCTTCTTAGAGGCCCTCGCGCCTGCCGAAGAGGCTGCCGGAGTGTTCGGGGCAGATGCAGAGCATTTCTCAGAAGGCCGGGGGCGGGGGACGTCGAGCCTTCTGAGAAGGCACGCACCTTCTCTTGGCATCGCTCGGACGTGTGCATTTTCCCTCGGCGAGGACCTTCGAGGATCATCCTCGACCCTCGGGGCAAGAAAGAACGCACCAGACCGAAACATGCGCAAGGAGCGGACGTGCGAGCGACGGCGAGCTTCTCGCTTCCCCCTGGGGCTCGCCGCCCCGGGGTGGCGGTGCAGAAAGCCGCTGGCTCTCTGTGGTGATGGACGCACGGTCTCCCGCACATCTGCCGCCCAGCAGCAGTCCATCGGGGGGCTGTCTGTGTCGATCCAGGAGGGGAAAACACACACGGACACAAGTCATCTTCGATTCCCCCGGAAAGCGTGGGAAGGTACGGGAAGTGGGGGGGAAGAGAGAAAGATCCAGAAACTGGGGGACAATGTGGGGCATCCTGTGATGTGTGTGTATTTCTGTGCGTGCCCCAGGGGCCCCCTCTCGCTTCCCCCCCCCCTCTCGGGCTCGCCGCCCGGGGGCGGCGGTGCAGAGAGCCGCTGGCTCTCGGTGGTGGTGGGTGCACGGACTCCCGCCCGCTGCCGCCCAGGGGCAGTCCACGGGGGGGGGTGTTTTCGAGCAGGGGGTCGACTACAATGCCGTTTTTCATACATGCTCCGCGTGCGGATCGTGTACAGTCAAAGACCCGAATAAGGACGCGCGACTTTGCTCAGGGTACCCTTGCGTCCTTGCTCTTCCTTGCTCTTGCGTCCTTGACGTTTTCGTCGTCCGCCGCCCCAAAAATCCCAACTTCGGCTTTCAAGGGTCTTGCGTCCTTACCGCGCGTCCTTATTATAATTTTTGATTGTATTAATCATGCAGGGAGTTAGTACTAAAAACAGCGATGAATTCATGCACGAATTTATTCCTAAGCTACTCATGCATTACAAGTGCTAAAGTTATATGTTTCAAACATTGTATAAGAAAACTGCCCTGGACCGAATTGATCTGCCTCAGAATTGGTTTCTCTCGGCGGATCCACGGGCAATTCGTAGAACCTCAGATCTACGAGGGGTTGGCGCACTTTTGCTGAAGAGTCGACGCGACAATCAATTCTGGGGTAAACCAGTTCTGTAACTCGTTCGATCTCCCAGTCGATGTCTGTGTCGATTCTTTGGCGGCGGAGTCTCGGGGAACCAACGCATCTTGCCGTCCGTTTCGCTCGCGTCGCGGGGGCTCTCCATTGGAGCCCTCTGTCGCGGCAAGCACGGGGTGGCCACGCAGCCCCGTTGGGCCACGGGGCCAGCACGGATCACACCAGCTCCCCCGAGGGCTCCCGAGAGGGGTCGCGCAAAATGCCCGCCGGATTCGTTTCTGACAAGCATGCCGGAGGAGAAATATTGGGGGTCTGAGGTGGCCCAGCACTGGTTCCGGCGAGCAGGAAGGGCGGGTAGGTTCGAGGTTCCGAGTTCGGGACGATTTTCTGTGCCTGTTTCGGCCTCGAGAGGCAATTTTCGGGGCTCGGGAGGGTCAAAAACGGATCCTGGTGTGCAAAGTTGCACCAGATGGACCCCGGGAGGTGTCCAGGGCGCACCCGCGCCGGATGACGCGCCCGATGCAAGACAAGAGCACGAACGGGGCGCACGGCGACCCCAATCCCCGACCGTGCGAGGCTGTCCACTGGACAACACAGCTGGGGGCCCCCTTCGGGCACGCATCCGGAGGGGCGGGGGCGTCCATCCTCGATTGGGGGCGCGTCCGCATACGCTGGAGGCCAGTCCACCAGAAACCTTCCACAAGAAACCAAGCCCTGAGACCCCAGGACGCCCATTGTTTTTTTGTATGGGAACGTCGCGCTGTCCACAGCAAAACCACCGAAACCCAAGACACC